AATGGTAAATCGTATAATAATAGTCTATGGGTCAAAATAAAGCTTATAATAAGAGGGATACGAATATGAATAGTTCAGTTACTTGACAATTATACAATAGGAAATATACATATCATATTGGTCTATAAATAGTCCTCAAAGTTACCATTCATAATTCTCCACAGGATATAACAGATTGTCCAAAGATGTTTATAACTATTTTATGCACATTTCATTTAAAATAGTCCAATAACTAAATAATAATCCATTTATTCAGCTCTAAAATATACGTCATGTACGAAGGCTAGTGATACAATCATATCATACGAACAGATGTTAGCGTAACCTTATTAGAGTAAATAGCAATGTGCCTAAAAAGTAAGTATGTTAATCGCCTATCTTATATTCAATAACTGTATACATAAATATATAGTGGATGCGCACTGATGAGGAGTCCTACATTAGGACAAAACGGCCGTCCAGTGTTTCCAGGTTTTCCATGGTGGTCTAGCTTAAATTGACTCACGCTTTCAACTATGAAACATACTAAATCTCCACAAAACCCTGTTCTGATAATTATTAAATATATAGGTAATTTTTGTTCATTATTCTATAAGTAATAGAACGAAATCAATCCCTATAAAACCCTATTTTTGATTGGTGATCAACTTATTTCCTTAAGCGGTTTAACCAACACACCAATATCGTTTTTGAAACACCAAATAGCCGCTTCATCCTAACATGGGTCTTCTCAGTAGTGTGCATCCATGATCTAACAAACTCAAGGCAACCGCTTAAACCTCAGGAGACGATGTTAATAACGAAATTACAAAATGAAACCACTATCATAAACCACCTATATTAATACCGTCTTTGTTACACTAATGCTAGAAACTACTGCAACCGTGTTAAAAGAATTACCTGAGTTCATAAAACCCAAATCTTTAATCAGTTTGAAATGGTTTGAGTTAGTTTCGAAAGTAACCTACTAATCCAAAGCAATTGGTCTTTACTAACAAACCACCTACTAAATTTATACCCCTAGAAAAGCAATAATTAATGTGATCGAAATGGATTCAGTTGATTTGTGAACTGACTTTTTTTCGGAGATAATTGTGAGATCATTTAGAAAGTAGGATGTCTCTAATGAAACATATGCATAAGGATTGCTAAGTCAACCATAGTCAAACAAAAGTGCATTCGTCAGTCTGACGAATTCGGCTTTTAGGAAGTCCAACTGTTTAATCAGCCTATTCAACTATTCAGAAAGATAATTTTAACTAAACAATCTTTTATGATGAAATCATAAAGTCCCCAGTAAATTTTACGGTAATTAACAAATGAGTGTTAATATTATAGATTGTTTTTAAAGTTTAGTTATTAAATAACATTTGAATTTTGCTTACTAAGTAATCGAAATGAACGATTTCAAAGGATAATTGTATTACTTACTTACGCCTGTTACCCCCAATGGAGCATAGGCCGCCGACCAGCATTCTCCAATCCACCCACACTGCCTTGGCCTTCCTTTCTACTTCTATCCAATTTTGGTTCATTCTTCTCATGTCTGTCTCAATTTCTCAAGGTAATGTGTTCTTTGGTCTTCCTCTTTTCCTTTGTCCTTCAGGATTGCATGTGAGGGATTGTCTTGTGATGCAGTTGTGTGGTACCCTCGATATGTGTCCTATCCAATTCCAGTGCTTCTTCCTCATTTCTTCCTCCACTGGATAGAATCTAGTTTGTTGTCTCCCATAGTAACTTGTTACTGATAGTGTCTGGCCATCGGATCCGAAGTATCTTGCGTAGACAACTGTTAATAAACACTTGCATCTTCTGGATAATGACTTTCGTAGTTCTCCAGGTTTCCGCTCCATGCAGTAGAACTGTCTTGACATTTGTATTAAAAATTCTGATCTTAGTGTTGGTTGACAATTGTTTTTAATTCCAGATGTTCTTCAGTTGTAGTGAACATGCTGCTCTTGCTTTGCCGATTTTCGCCCTCACATCTGCATCTGATCCACCGTGTTCATCAATGATGTTGCCCAGATATGTAAATGTTTCCACATCCTCCAAAGCTTCTGTAATTGTATTACAACTAATTAATTAACTATGATGAATCGATATCAGCTAAACCTAAATAATCTTCACTAATCTAAAACCCAAAGAATCCTGGGTATCATCTAATGAACTAATTTAGGGTTGCGCATCAATGTCCAGGGCTTCATGATTTGTAGTGGATGTTTAGCTGATATGAAATCATGATGAAAAAACCAGCTTTAAAATGTTAGCAGTCATGATTCTTTCTATTTATAGAGATTTCAATAGCCTAATTTTTATGATATTTGAAATGATGTTATCAGTGACAACGAGCAGTTTCCAGATAAACAACTAGTAATATTACTCGGAAAATAAAATGCTTATCATGTCATTCATATAACATTTATACTGTGGAATAAAATCAAGGGCAGCATTTCTACAATTGAAGAACATATGGAACTCAAAACAACTCTCAACTAACTTCAAAGTCATAATCTTCAATACGAACGTCAAGACAGTCAGTTAAACTGTACAGAGCTGAAACGTGGAGAACTGCTACGGCCATCGTCAAGAAAGTACAAGTATTTATAAACAGTTGTTTACGCAAAATACTCAACATTCACTGGTCGGATACTATCATCAACAGCGTTTTATGGGCAAGGACAAACAAGCTTCCAGCTGATCAGGAAATTAGGGAAAGGCGATGGAAGTGCGTAAGACATACATTAAGGAAATCACCAATGTGCATTACAAGGTAAGCTCTAACTTGGAATCCGGAAGGGAAGAAGAAAAGAGGAAGGCGAGGCGAGGTCGTGGATGCGCACTGCTGAGGAGTCTTACAATAAGATGAAACGGCTGTCCAGTGCTTCTAGGTTTTCCCTGGTGGTCTAGCTTCAATGGACCCACGCTTTCAACTATGAAAATTCTGAATCTCTACAAAAACCCCTTCTGATAAAAAAGGTTTTATCGATAAAGTGACTCTTTTGAAATGGATTCGTATTAAAATAAACTTTACTTCCTACTGTTTTTACTGACAATAAAGTACTCACTGTGTTATAAACATACTAATGACATAACTAATGAATTAAAATATTCTTTTATATATAATTTACCTTGATATAGTTCAAAATGAGAAAACTCTTATCACTATGCTATCGATTGGTAAAGTAAATGATTTCCAATATTTGATTATACAGGTATTTTATAATGTTACCAACACCGAATTCCCATAATATAATATCAGTGCTTACCTTAATGGTTAACAAAATAACTTACACAATCTATCAAGTGAAATAAATCAATGTGCCATTCATGATAATTACAATCGTTAACTAGTTCTAAAACTCAGGAATACTGAATATTATAATATTTCATTAAAATAAACATATGAACTTTTAGACGATATCTAAATAGAGTACTTATTTATTTAAACACATAAATATTGGTACAAATGGGCACCAGATATATGTGCGCCACACAAATCTCATTTTATTTGTGTGAGGGTTGTGATACTGCCCGACTGCCCAAACTGTAACAGGTGATTTACTTAGAGGGCCACACCTGGAACCTTTGACCTAATGGTCTGATCCATAAGGCCGTGGAGCATCGTACGGAGATGCAGTCCCATGGTAGCCGGCGACCAACGATTGATTCATACACCATTTGTTCCCTCAAGATACTGGAGCCAGTCCATGTGCACCATTGGTTTGGAATCAGGGTTTTTCAACTCTTCATGGTGGACGCGCCGTGTACACCGAACCCGGTTAAAGCGTCGGACATTTGATTTTCGTCTTCTCAATTTCGTAAACAACACTCCCTTTACGAGAAGTCAGTGAGTAGGACTTCTCTAGCAGAGGCTATATATACGTGGTCACGTAAGAGCTTTTGGAGAGGGAGAGCGGACTCTCCCCACTCTCGGCCGTACCAGGGCATTCGGGGGCCTAGAGTACCAAAAGCTATTAGCAGGATATGTGATGAATCTTTTGATGTTGATCAAGAATATAACTGTAAATAAACAACAGACATCTTTGCAAACAAATAGCAAATGATCTTCTAACAAATACAAATTATTGATAAATTTCTTATTTCATTTATTATTTAAGACAGAATAAGATTCAGATGTATTAGAATTTATCCATGTAAAGGAAAGTACAAAAGTTCTGTAATATCGTATTCAGCTCTACAACATCGTATTTACCACATGTACTATACGATGAACAAGTTGTAAATGGTTAATCTAACCAAAAAACCTGTACTTGTGAATATCCATACACAATATTAATTGTTATAAAAAATTTATATAGTTAAGATCATGAGTAAATTGAAACTAGACCACCATGGAAAACCTGGAAGAACTGAACTGCCGTTTCGTCCTACTGTGGGACTCCTCAGCAATGCTCATCCACGATTCCACCCAGGACCTACCAGTCTCGCGCCAGAGCACTTAACCGATAAACTGGTTATAAAAATTGTTGGTTTCATCAAAAAAAATTTATTTATGGTATTTACTCTCTACTACATTATCATGATTTATCTTTCGAGTTCACAGAATCGCTTTTATATCTAATTGAAAATTCATTCCCTAAAACCGACGTTTATTTTTTATTTGAATTCATGAATAGGAAATAAATGATAATTTATCTTTCAGAAATTTATGATATTACAGATGTTCCTATCTTACTATAAACGAACTCATATCTAGTCAACTTAAGTGTATCTGACGAGAATATTCTGGAAACCAGTCAGTCAGCTACAACGTAGGACGAGGCACACATATATGCATCGGTCTTTTTTTTTCTATTCTGGAAATAAATAATTAACAAAAAGAGAACAAACCGTATAAATGAACCAAGAGTATATAGTTAACCTTCAATAGGGTATGTATGTACATATTGCAAGATTTGTTTTTTTTTTTTTGGAATCGACCAGTCTTACTGATTATTTACGGATAGGAAGGGGTGGACAAAAGTATATAATATATATATATATATATATATATATATATATATATATATATATATATATATATATATATATAAATCAAGAAATACTGGGCACCCATAGTACCTGATTAAAAATAAGCACAAAAGTTTAATAAATGCATTATGTCTGGAATAAAAGTAACATCTCTCATGTACAATAATATAGACTATAAACTATAAAAAGGAAGACAATATTATATTGATGGGAAAGTTTAAAGACTGAACCACTACAAGAAAATAATAATAATAATAATGACTAATATAACAAGTTAGCTTATCACATATATTGCGATGAGATGAGGATGAAACAGTTATTGAAAAATTTCTTTCAGGAGCACCTTAAAAGCACAGATGGTGGATTGTTCATTTCACCTTTGAGGTTAATAAGTCATTATGATGAAAGTAATTTCCTTTAGAAAGACATTGAAAATAATACAGGCGAATGAGTTAAGCCTTTTTTTTTTAGAAAATGATTAGTTGCTAAGTTAACTGAAAAGAATATAAGAAATAGAGAAGGTAATTTAATTCTTCTTGTGTGTGTGTGTGTGTGTGAATAGGGATAGAATATCACTTCATAGTCAGGATATTTCATAAAAGAAACTTACATATCAAGATTTCAAAGAAAACTTCAATGACATTAATAAATTACCAAGAGATTTATTTACATGATACAATATCAGGTAATTCAATTCTAATTCCATCTTCTGTAATAATAAGTGAATCATGTTGAGTTGTTCTACCATTTGATTTGATTTGATGAGTACCATTATTATGATTATGCATGGATTTGTTTGATCGAGATTTAAGTCTATGCTTTGATTTCTTTTGATAATTAATAACTATTAAAATTCCTAAAGTAATAATGAATAAGATGATAAGTATAATAATTGCTGAAACAATCCAAATTTTTTGTCTATGATCAGTTTTACTATGACCATATTTAGTTAGTATCACAATATCATAAACTGATGTTGTATTAATCGGTTCTATAATAGATGGTGTTGTATTCAATATAGGTTCTATACTAGTTAATTGCATAGATTCATATAAACCGAATGAAGTTGTATTTGAAATCAATATTTCATCATTGGATACAATTTCAATAATAGGTTTTTCAGGTTGACCTATTCCAGCTTGTACTTGCTTCAATGGTAAATTATTCCTACAAAGCATTTCATCTGAACATACACTATAAACACAACTATCAAGTGGTAAATGATGATTTGGTGATAAATTCTCATTATTTTCAATAATCTTATTGTTCAATGATGATATTGATGATCCTGATGATGATGATGATGATGATGATGATGATGATGATGAAAGTCGTGTAAATTTTACTAAATACTGTCTAAGTGGTGGTCCTGGACGTATACGTATAACATATACATTAGGATTTTGTATACATTGAATACAATAAAATTGTAATGGTACACCTTCACAATCAACAAATCTTATTAAAGTAATAAATGAACCAAATGTTAAAAATTCCGGGAATACAGCCTTACAATTCAATGTAATTTCATGTAAATTAATTAATCCAATAAAACTACAACTATCCCAACTTATTAAACTTGTACGAGCTAATAAATTTAATAAACCATCCATACCAGCTAATGTTAATGCATTTAATTGATGTGTATTTATATTGAAATCAAGTTGTAATGTATTCACTGAATTACTGACAAATAAATTTGAAAATGCCCAAGGATTAATTGATAAGTGAATATGACTATCATTTGAAAGATATGGACCAATACAGATAAATTTCTCAACTCGTTGACATGATAACTCTTCTGAATGATTATATGATAATTGAGTTAAGGAACAATGAATTAATTGCTTGACACTTATATTAGTAGTATGATAAGGTAAATTAGTAGTTGAGTTTAAATAACAAAAACATTTTTCATGGCTTGATTTATGAATAATTATGAATAGAATAAATATGAAATTAAATAAAATATAATTGTAATAATTCCAAATGATTATCATTATTGATTATTATTCTGATATTAGACATAGGCATTTGTGTACCGCCTAGAAGGCGGAAATGTAAAAAAAAAAATTTGTCAAGTTTTTTGAAACATTATAAAAATCAGGGGATTAGTTAACATGGCAACAAAATATAGAACACATAGTCTTTACAAATAATTGATATATTAAATAATAGGAAAAAATATATAAAGAAGAAGCGCGATAATGTATTCTGGTAAATGATTGGTTGATTAAAGAATGACGTCAAATGAATCGATTTTTTTTGTTTCTATTGACCAATCAGAATTCAACGTTGACAGCCAATAGAATATTAATTAAGAGAGAGAAAAAATAAAAAAAAATCATCGACATCATCATTACAAATTCATGAATGAACACGTAAATGATGCGTTAAATGTCAGTCAATTTGACCTTATTGTTTATAATATATAAAAATTAGTTTAACTAAAACAATGGAATAAATTATTATTAAGGTCAAGAAAAATTGGCGAGTCATATTTATGATTGCCTATTGTACTCGATAATAATGACAATGGATAAAACTTTATTTACATGTAATGTCAGAAGGGGGGTTTTGTGGAGATTTTAGTAATTTTATATAGTTGAGATCATGAGTTGATTAAAGCTAGACCACCAGGGAAAACATGGAAGCAATGGATGGTCGTTTCATCCTATTGTGGGACTCCTTAGCAGTACGCATCCACGATCCCACCTTGGGAGATTCGGGCCCAGGATATGCCAGTCTCGAGAGGTGGGATCGTGGATGCATACTGCTGTGGAGTCCCACAGTAGGACGAAACGGCCATCCATGGTGGTCTAGCTTTAATTGACTCATGATTTCAACTATAAAATTGCATGTAACGATTATGATGACATATTAAGTTATAAAGTCCTTTAAATTAAGCCTTAAAAATCTAAAAAATTATAAGCCTTGCTAATTTATAATGGTAAATGTTTTCTACTTTGAAGAGATCTTTTATTACCCCCCTATACCATTTAATGAATACAAGGTAAACAAGATAATTACTCAGTTAACAGTATGAAGAAATGAAAGATAGTGGATTAAGTATTTTTAACAACAACAGTTACGTCAATTTTAATGCACTTGGATCATAATCAACTTTGTAGAGTGGTAAAGTGGTAACATTTTCTGACAACTGAGATCAATTATAAAATGAGTAACTAAGACTATTATCTATCTTAGAAAGCGTTTCTTTTTAAAATTAGATAGCTAGGCATTCAACAGCTTATATTTTTACTTCTCTGACTTCATTTCATTTATATAAGGTTTATTGTCATATGAGGGAAAATTAGTAATTTATTTTATCGTTTAGTTATATCCAAATGGTCAATAAATTAAGTTGAATGAATGTATATTTCAAGTAAGTTTTGGCTGTTTATTGGGCTTGTTAATAGTCCCATTAATTAGTCCCATGAACAAAATGAGGATTTGTGGAGATTGTAGTAATTTTAATGGTTGAATTCATGGGTCGATCAATGCTAGACTATCATTTAAAACCTGGAAACACAATTCGTCCTAGTATAAGACTCTTCAGCAGTGCTTCCAGGTTCTAATTCAAGTTGCATTAGAAAAATTAACTGGAAATGTAAGTGAATTCACCTATTTATTCATTCCACTTCTTCACAGAATGACTTTAGTCGAATTACTGTTGCACAGCAATACTAGTCTCCAAAGTCAATAAAAACTAATGAACTGTAGACTAGTTGTTTTGCGGTGACTTATAAATTATTTTCGTTAATATTACAGATCTGCAAATTTCTTATAGCAGATTGGCTATAAGATCTAACGTCATTTAGAAGCTATAAATGTAAACCATTAAATGTCAACTCTGTATTTGGTAGCTTAAGCGCTCGACACAAAACTTCTAGATCCTGATTTTGATCCCTGGAGGGTCTTAGGATGCCTACCTTGATGAATGTTATTCAAGGAAGTTCATGCCAGCTGTTTGATCAAATTTGGTCTGCAAGATGAAGCTAAGAATCTGACAATCTATGTTATACTCTACAATAATAAAAACTTGTGTTTTTCCTCTACCAAAGTGATTGTTAATATTTTAAAAAATTCAACAAATCCCAATAAATCAGAAGGGGTATTGTGGAGATTTAGTATTTTCATAGTTGAAATCATGAGTCAATTGAAGCTAGACCACCATGGAAAATCTGGAAGAACTGGACGGCCGTTTCATCCTATAATGGAACTCCTCGGCAGTGCGCATCCACTGACTTCAAGAGATATTTCGTGGAGTTCTAGTGAGAAGCAGTGACGAGTGGAGTTGAAACCACGTCAGTTGTGAGATAGGAACTCACTGAAGATAATTAGTGAATGGTTGCTCAACTTCGTAGATCAGTTGAAGTTAGATATTACCACTGTTGGATGCCGGCTCAGTGGCCTGTCGGTTAAGTGCTCTGGCGAGAGACTGGTAGGTCCTGGGTCTTGCGAAGCGGAATCGTGGATGCGCACTTCTGAGGAGTCCCACAATAGGACGAAACGGCCGTCCAGTGCTTCCAGGTATTCCATTATGGTCTAGCTTCGATTGACTCATTAAAATCCTAATAAGGATATGTTTTTTCAAAAGGAAAATAAATGAGTAATAGAAAAGAGGTAGATGGGAAACAGTTAATAATTCTAACAGAAAAACAAAATAATGGGATTGCTTTAAATCAGTTTCATTCAAGGTCAATTGTTTTAATATGCTACTTGACATATTGTTATTTAATTTCGTTGTATTCATTACATGAATAGGAGTTATAGTTTAGCAGACGTCTATTCCTTATGCAACCGTAACAATGAATCGTCACAAATGACCTTTTGAACTCATTTATGAATGTGTCATCATTATGAAAATTGAGAAGATTAATTTGACCTTACAATAGGATGTCAATAGAAATGTTTCAGAAATATCCTATTACTAATATAAATACAATATGATGTTAGGAAACAATTTAAGGAAATTCAGTGAACATAATAGTTATATAACATTTAGAAGTATATCGATGATGTCATTTAATTTTAAAAGGTCTGTTTGTCTAACAACATCAGTCAAACCACTGTTCTTCATATTCGCATTGTTGATGTTCATGACTAAATTTGATAAAGCTCTGTTAACATATGGTTTCTTCAAGTTGTTTTCACTATACTACTGGCTAAGTGGTTGGAAGTAGACGACAGGCAGGCCTAGAACTAAGTATCGTGCTAGTTAATAATCATTAGCTGTGTCTAATTGTAATCTTGAGAAAATCAGTTTCCCTATAAGATATGAATAAATATTACTCAGGTTTTGAGGTAAGATGGTGGTTGGAGGTGGTCAACAGGAAACCCTGGACCCGGGTTTTGTGCTACTTGGAACTCGTCAGCAAGGTGTACCCGTAATCTTGAGGGAACTGATGCTCCCTGGTGGATTCGATCCCGTGCCACACAGCTTCACAGTCAGAGACGTTACCACTGAGCTATTCGGGCCGAAACCAACCCCCTGTGATTAGTCAGATTTTGTAATAGTCTATGATGTTATCACTACCCAACTGATTACTATACTCCGATTAACAGTAATGTTCAGTTTATGATGTCGATTATTAAATTCGCAGAAGGGGTTTTTGTGGAGATTTCAGTATTTTTCATAGTTGAAATCATGAGTCAGTTGAAGCTAGACTGACTTCAAGAGATATTTCCTGGAGTTCTAGTGAGAAGCAGTGGATGCATCTTCGCCATTGCAAACGAAGATGCATCCACTCTTTGTGTTCTACCAAATTCTAATCTTCTGAATTCCTCATGTCTTTATCTTTTTCTCTTTCCAAATTTATTTCACTGTACTATACTCCTTCAATAATTTCTTCAAACCCTAATCTTTTGGATTTTTGATTATACTCCTACTACTTTTACCACTATGGGATTTGAATCGACAACTGCATCTCTGTGCTAATGTGGTATGGCAACTCGAACTGATGTACGTACGTACGTACGAAGTTCTACGTTGTGACTGACTGACTCTAGTGAGAAGCAGTGACCAGTGGAGTTCAACCAAATCTGCTGGGAGATAAGAACTCACTTAAGACAATTAGTGAAAGGTTGCTCAACATCGTGGATTAGTTGAAGTTGGATATTAACACCATCGGATACCAGCCGGCTCAGTGGTCTATCGGTTAAGTGTTATGGTGGGAGATTGGTAGGTTCTGGGTTCCAATCTCTCGAGGCGGGATCGTGGATGTGCACTGCTGAGGATTCCCACAACAGGACGAAATGGCCGTCCAGTTCTTCCAGGTTTTCCATGATGGTCTATCTTCAACTGACTTATAATTTCAACTATGAAAGAACTGATTTCTAATGAAAATGTTGAAAAGAATCTAGTACAATAATTGTGTAATGAGTAAGTGGATACTATGTATCACTTCATACAATACAAAATTCTATGAGTTTGTAGTAGAAAAGTGGTAATCAATAAACCGATGGTTACTAATGTCATATATATAGCTGTTGAGAAAAAAATAGGATTCATGAATTATTCACATAAATGAAAACTGTTTTTACTTGGAAGGAATAAAAAAATGCTTCAATAAGAATCGATTTTCTAGTTTTGCTTATTTTTATCAAAGTGAACAAATGTATTACACTTCCACATTTTCCAGGGAATAAAATGGTTCACCTCCTGATCGGGATATTTATACCTTTCTAGTCACACGATTAGTAAGGATTGTCATAATGGGATGGGCATTGGGAAAGTTAAGACTCTATGAGTTTTTTTATTTATTATCATTTATATTTCTGTTGCATAGTTAGTAGATAACTGTAATACTATACTTACATATTCTCTTCATTATATGCTTACAGTGAATCTATTCTGAGTTTTACTAATCCTCGATCACTACTGATTAATTATGTACGCTTTGTTTTACACTGTACCACTTGCAGAATGATTGTGTTTAAAGTATGTTTTGTTATCTGGTGTACTGTGCTGTCAGGGATTTCAAGCACGTTATTGTATGTGTTTCGAGCCATGATTGAATAATGTGCAACAAAAAATCAATCTGATCATTGTCTTCGTCTCCTGATTAGTTACTGGTGTAAGAAGGAGCTCGAGGACCAATTACTGTGCTAGGTGTTTTTTATTCGTCAGTGTGTTAATTGGCTCTTAGAATGTTACCGGTCCTACTGCTAATCTAGAATAATTAATGGTTAATCAGAATTC